AGTCCAACCTTTGTTGTTGTCTTCCTATAAGGCTCCTCCTTTGTGAAAGTGAAGCTGCTGAAGGATGGACACAAGTTCCTGGTTCACATTATGAACCCGAAGAGAACCACCCCTGAGAAACCAGACGACGCTCTGCAGACGGACCAGAGTGGTGAGTGAAGGGCAGACATGACGTCCTCTTCCTCCTCTGTATGTCATGTGACAGAGAGCCGCTAAACATTCGGCTCAGGCTGTACTCTGGGGAAATTGTCACATGACTCTCTCTCCGCAGGAAAGCCCGCCTCCAAGGCGAGAAGCGTCAGTGAGTTTGGATCATTCTCCGCCACACTGCAGAGCGGGATACAGTTGTCTGTGAGCCACTATGGCGCCTCCGGCAGAGGAACGGGTGAGTGACATATTGTGTGGCGTCAGATTGTGATTATCGGTTGTCACTCAGTGCTAATAATGGGACCGATAATTGGTATTGATCCGTCTATCACAGCACTCCACCCTAAATGGCTTCCTATTACTCTCTTCATAGAGGAGAAGGATCCAGAGCTGGAGGAGATGCTGACCTTCCCGTCTGTTCACACTCCCAGCATCACCCCCTCTCCACCTGCCCAACCTCCGCCCACCCCATCCGGCAAGGGACGAAAATCCCCCCGCAATAAATCACCGAGAGCTGCGCGAGTGAAGACACCGCAGGGCCCGGCAGTGGAGGAGACCCCGCGAACACCAGAGGTCCCTGTAAGTGAGGAGTTCACCTCGGAACGCATGTGTCATCTCTGCATGGGAGTATAGTGGGGAAGTAATGCGATTTATATTATGTCACAGGACAACAGCCTATGTAATGGCAGGATCATGCTTACTGTGCTCGGAAACTTTCTCTACATTGGCTCTGAGTGATCACATGACATCAAAACACTGCAAGCTTTCTCTACATTGGCTCTGAATGATCACATGACCTCAAAACACTGCAAGCTTTCTCTACATTGGCTCTGAATGATCACATGATGTCACCACACTGCAAGCTTTCTCTACATTGGCTCTGAATGATCACATGATGTCACCACACTGCTAGCTTTCTCTACATTGGCTCTGAATGATCACATGATGTCACCACAATGCTAGCTTTCTCTACATTGGCTCTGAATGATCTCATGATATCACCACACGGCAAGGTTTCTCTACATTGGCTCAGCATGATCACATGACATCAAAACACTGAAAGCTTTCTCTACATTGGCTTTGAATGATCACATGATGTACAGGTGCTCAGTGTAGATTGGTATTAATCTATAATTTATTTAATCTGTACAGGTGGTGCCTGTTTTGCCTCCCATGACTCCGCCCCCTAAACCTGCACCTGCTGTCCCCGCCTTCCAGAGCCTGAATGTCTCCTACCCCAATGGTCTTCTTGTGACTTTCCAGAGAGATGACACAGAAGGTCAGCTATATTATGAAAGCATTCCTGCAATTCATGATATATTGTATTATTTGTGTGCTATGTACACCCCTCATCCCCATAAATCCCCCTGTGTGTTCTATGTACACCCCTCATCCCCATAAATCCCCCCGTGTTTTCTATGTACACCCCTTATTACTATAAATCCCCCCGTGTTTTCTATGTACACCCCTTATTACTATAAATCCCCCCGTGTTTTCTATGTACACCCGTCATTACCATAAATCCCCCCGTGTGTTCTATGTACACCCCTTATTACTATAAATCCCCCCGTGTGTTCTATGTACACCCCTCATTACCATAAATCCCCCTGTGTGTTCTATGTACACCCCTCATCACCATAAATCCCCCTGTGTGCTCTATGTACACCCCTCATTACCATAAATCCCTCTTTGTGTTCTATGTACACCCCTCATTACCATAAATCCCCCTTTGTGTTCTATGTACACCCCTCATTACCATAAACCCCCCCGTGTGTTCTATGTACACCCCTCATTACCATAAATCCCCCTATGTGGTCTATGTACACCTCTCATTACCATAAATCCCCCTATGTGGTCTATGTACACCTCTCATCCCCATAAATCCCTCTGTGTGTTCTATGTACACCCCTCATTACCATAAATCCCGCTGTGTGTTCTATGTACACCCCTCATCCCCATAAATCCCCCTTTGTGTTCTATGTACACCCCTCATTGCCATAAATCCCCCCGTGTGTTCTATGTACACCCCTCATTACCATAAATTCCCCCGTGTGTTCTATGTACACCCCTCATTACCATAAATCCCCCTGTGTGTTCTATGCACACCCCTCATCCCCATAAATCCCCCTTTGTGTTCTATGTACACCCCTTATTATGTGGTAGGTGAAGCCGCAGTTTTGGAGCACTGCTCTGTCTCTGTTGCCTGACCTGGACTTGGGGTGTCCCAAATCTATACCGGAGTGCTGTCATTCTATCTGTATTAATAAAACCTCCTTTCAGGTGCGACCGCCACAGATGGGGCAACAGCTCAACCACTTCTCGTCAGACAAACTTACCCCATAAGAGTGAGGAACGCCCAGCTGTACAAAGGGAGGAAGACCCCCGGAATCTCTGAGATGAGCCGCATTGTTACACCAGAGGGCGCTGTGGTGAAGAGTATGCTGGATGGCTCCACAGAGGTAATGCAGCCTTAATGAGACCCTGTCACCAGACCGTTAAGAAGGTAATAACTGTGGTTGGGATGAGTTGATGGAGAAGGTAAAAGCTTAGTTGTTAGGTAGAGGTGGGATAGGGTTCCCTGATAAGATGAGTTGTCCGAAATCTCCTAAAGGTGGAAAGAGTAGGAGATAGCTGGACAGATTGGAGTAGAGAGTTCCAGAGGATGGGAGGAATCTGGAGAAGTCCTGGAAAGGAGCATGGAAAGAGGTGACAAGGGAGCTAGAGAGTCTTGTGAGGAGCAGAGAGGACAGTTTGGGTGATATTTAGAGACGAGGTTGGTGATGTAGCCGGGGGCAGAGTTGTAGGTGGATTTGTATGGGCGGGGGAATGGAAGACAGTGGAGGGATTAGCAGAGGGGGGGCAGGGGATTGAAGCACGTGGAGGGATTGGCTGGGGACGGAAGTCAGTAAAGGGATTGGCAGAGAGGTGTGGGGGATGGATGCCAGTGGAGGGATTGGCAGACGGGGGTGGGGAATAAAAGCCAGTGGAGGGATTGGCAGAGAGGGGTGGTGGAGGGATTGGCAGAGAGGGGTACAGCATTGAAACCAGGGGAGGGGTTGACAGAAAGGGGTGGGGGATGGAAGCCAGTGGACGGATTGGCAGAGAGGGGTAGGAGATGAAAGCCAGTGGAGGGATTGGCAAGTGGAAGGATTGGCAGAGAGGGGGAGATGGAAGCCAATGGAGGGATTGGGAGTGTGGGGGAGATGGAAGCCAGTGGAAGGATTGGCAGAGTGGAATGGTGGACGCTAAGTGGTTGGTAAGGTGGATCAGTCTGGGAGTAGCATTCGTGGTAGACTGAAGGGGACCTCTGCGAAGAGGTACGACAATGGAGGGAGTTGCAATAGTCGAGGTGAGAGGAACAAAAGAGTGAGTTAGTATCTTGTTGGTGTCAGTGGTTCCAAAGGAACGTATTTTGGAAATGTTATGGCAGTGAAGGTGGTAAGATTTGGACATTGGTTGGATGTGGGGCGGGAAGGAAGAGGTGAAGGCTTTGCGTAGGCCGATTTGTCATGCGTTGTTGCAGTATAGAACGTAGATGTATCCATTGGACACTTTCTTATCCAGTTGCCATCTGGAATTTTCTGATCATTTCTGTTCCAGGTTCTGTTTCCGGGTGGATCAGTGAGCAGAAGTCCGGATTCAGGTCCCGTCACTGTTCCGTGTCAGCCTGTGCCGAAGTCTGACACCCCCACTGTGGGTTCAGAGCCAGCGCCGCCTTCTGCTGGATCTACACTAGAATCCAAAGACCAGAAGGCAGAGTCCGTTCCCGAGCAAAAGAGAGGTAGACTGTAGACTGAAATCATACTCAACATGCTGGGGGAAGTCCTAAAGTGCCGCCAATCTACGCAGCACTTTACATCCCATACAGTCACATCAGTCCCTGTCCACAAAGAGCTTACAATCCAAGGTCCCTATATCACACCCACGTACTAGATCCAATGTAGCCAATTAACCTAGCAGCTTGTCTTTGGAGTGTGGGAGGAAATCCACACAAGTACAGGGAGAACATGCCACAATTAGAACCAAAGACCCCAATGCTCCCCTTCTGGAAAGAAAAACAGATGAGGGCATTGTCAGAGGGAATCCTATGAGTGCTGCCCAGAGTTCTGCTTCAGTTTATTGTATCACCTGTGGACTTGATTGGTGGGATCTCCCCATTTTTGGTGGGAACAAACCCAGAGTGGGTGACAGAGAGATGGCAGAGGGCTCTTACTGCTGGAATCCTTAAGAAATAAAGAAGCCGGTTGGTTCCTCAGCCCGCCACGCTCAATTAATACCTAAAATATCATTTCAGGAGGACCGGTCCTTTAAGTTCACTCACCTTGTTGTTTACAGGGAAAGGTGGGCCAAAATTGGTGCCACCAACAGCTAAGCCGGAGCCAGCGGAGGCCCCACCCCCAGAGCCGCTGCCAGCCACACCCCCAAGGCCAACAGTACAGCCCGGAACGTGGATCACCACCACCCCGTACGGGGATCAGATAGGAACGCGGGGCTCCGAGAGGCTGGACCTGAGACCTCTGCAGACTTTCAAAGCTACAGACCCTGTGAATGGGTCGGTAAGTCACTACCCTAACCCTGAGTACAGAAGGTTTGGCGGGATCACCTCCCTTCCTTGCCTGAAATATGAGACTGTCACAGGCTTCGCTTAGATCTATATGCATTTGATGGAGCAGGTTAACAGACATGTCACCCATGTTGCAGGTGGTGACGACACGGGAAGACGGGGTGGTGATGGTGGTGAGCACAGATGGGACCACCATTGTGGAACACGTGGATGGAACGAGAATCACCACCTTCTACCAGAACGTAGACATCCCCCTTCCAGGAGACCACGAAGAGACCGGTAATTATTCCCAGGGGCACCCAATAGAACACCCCTCCCCCACGGTATACATCCAGAGACCAGAGAATCGATTCACAAAGCTTTAACACCAGGATTTGTTCTCAGTCATGTGACTGCAGTGTTCAAATCTCATTGGCTGAATATTTATTTTATTACATGGGAATCTATTTTTGTGAGTTGAGTCTCCTGTATCGTGCAGGAGACACATTTTAGGTCATTATCAGAACTTATACTTGAAAATAATATTTAATACAACATTAAAACTAGTATATATTTGCTGTCCCCCCCCCCCCCCAGTGGCGTCACAAGGGGGAGCGGGGGGCGCGGCCCGCACCCAGGTGACACCATTGGAGGTGGCACCAAAATGACTGACAGTCATTTTGGTGTCACCCCCTCTAAAAAGTCGGGCACTTGGTCAAGGACCGAGAGCCCGCCAGTGTCAGGGGTGAGGAGGGGACCCGGCGGCATACCTCATCTTGCTTGGGTTAAACGTCTCCTCCTCTCTCTGCCGGCGTCCATCAGTAAGATGGCCGCCGGGAGGTGTCAATTAGATGACCGCGCATGCGCGATGATGTCACGTGTATGCACAATGATGTCACGGCGAGGTGTCACCCGTTCTCCGCTCCTGGTGACAACTGGCCTCGGGACGCCCCTGCCCCCCCCCCTTTTCTCCCCATAAGACATACGGTGGACTGGCACTTAGCACAGGCCACTGGCATTTACCAATGAGAAGCCAGAACTTCAGGGGGCAGTAGAGGCTCTGACATTTGAAGGATAGGGGTGGGGCTTAGTATCCTAAGGGGGCAGGGCTTATCTTTGACTTGGGTAGAAGTCAAGGCCCTATATACAACTTTCACAGGGATCAGCTGACGCTTGAGCCAAGTACTTGATGAGGTTGAGGTGAGTCTTCTGGAGGTCCCAGCATCTCAGCACTGGTATTTGGATGATTTTACCACCAGGTCAAGGACACTTGAAGTGTTATTGCAGCTTGAGGAATCCATCTCTCGGTATGAGGTGTATCATTTCATCATGTATGATGTTTCCCGTATGATTATCTTTCTGGGGTCTCGGTGTTCCCGGCTGTCTTATGACTTGTCTCCAGCATCACCCTCTGTGTCTCGTTCCTCAGGGGAGGTGCCGCAGAGCATCACAAAGAGAGTGAAGTTCATTCGGGTGGAGAATCCTGAATTCGTCACCGTCATTCTGAACTGTGAGGAACACACCTGCTACGCTGTATCCGGTGACGGCACGGAGATCCTGGCCAAGCCGCAGGCGGAATATCAGGTGAGGGACACAAGGACACTACATTTCTCAGCGGAACTCCAGGAATCTTCTCTGGATACTTAGGTTGGTCCAGCTTGGCTCAATGTAAGTAAATCAGATTTCCAGAGGGCCGCTGACGGTGCAAAAAGAAATCACATTATGATTCAATGCTGCATAGCGTCAGAGCTGGTCTCTTCCGGCAGTGGCAGCATCTGCCCCTCTACGTAAAGTTTTAACTGCACGACATCTCTTGGTCTATTTATAAACCCAGAGCCATTTACCCGGCAAATCTTTCTGAATGTTTGTTCTGTGCAAATAGATGCAAAAATAAACATTTATCAAATTTGCTTTTCAGGTTAAATGTATGTGGTGTAATACTGCAGTATGCCCACTAGGTGGCGCTGAGGAGCATAGGAAATAATTGGCTCCATCCAGTGGCCAAAATAGAGTATTACGTTACATACATTCGACCTGAAAAGAAAATGTATCTAAGAATGTTCAGAAAGTTTCACAGGGTGAATGACTCTGCAATTTGTTTATAAGTAGACCCCCTTTGTGTGCTCTGTGCACCGTGTGTTATAAACAATCGCCATTTCTACTTTTTAATACAATCTTGTTTCTTGGCATGAGCTGACTTTACTTCCCTTTGTCCCCCGGCCTGTTATATTATATCACCAGAGATCACAGTGATACAGTCTACTAATGGACTATATACATTCTCTGTCCGCGTTCATTAGGTGTTTCCACCGAACTCCGGCTGCCTGTCTATAAACCGCGAGGGCTGTGCCGACTACTGCCCGCGGACGCGCCCCTCTCCGCAAACTTCCCCCAAGGCTGACGCTCTGCCCCCGGCCACCTACATCCTGTCTCACACTCAGAACGTGATCTGCGAGGTGATGGACCCGGAGGGGAACCTATTTCAGGTAACGCCGGCTGAAGCTTTCTCTGTCGTTTTTTGCTTTATGATTGCTGGGAAGTGACGGGTTCTGTATTATATATACACTGTATTGTGAAAAGTATGAATCATTGGGTTCAGGTGTTCCGTGACATTTCCCGGCTACTAAATTTTCCGCGGTCACCTGTTACTGGGATTATAACAAAGTGGAAGCAACTGGGAACAACAGCAACCCAGCCAGGAAGTGGTCGGCCACGTCACATGACAGAGCGGGGTCAGCGCATGCTGAAGCGCACAGTGCGCAGAAGTCGCCAACTGTCTGCAGATCCAATAGCTACAGACCTCCAAACTCCATGCGGCCTTCAGATTGGCGCAACAACAGCTGCGTAGAGATCTTCATGGAACGGGTTTCCATGGCCGAGCAGCTGCATCCAAGCCGCACATCACCAAGTGCAATGCAAAGCGTGGGATGTAACGCACGCCGCCACTGGACTCTAGAGAAGAGGAGGCGTGTTCTCTGGAGTGACCAATCACGCTTCTCTGTCTGGCAATCTGATGGGCGTGTCTGGGTTTGGTGGTTGCCAGGGGAACGGTACTTGCCTGACTGCATTGTGCCAAGTGTAAAGTTTGGGGGAGGGGGGATTATGGGGGGGTTGTTTTTCAGGTGTTGGGCTCCGCCCCTTAGTTCCAGTGAAGGGAACTCTTAAGGCATCAGCACACCCAAGACATTTTGGACAATTTCATGCTCCCAACTTTGTGGGAGGAGTTTGGGGACGGCCCCTTCCTGTTCCAACATGACTGCGCACCAGTGCACTAAGCAAGGTCCATAAAGACATGGATGGGGGAGTTTGGGGGGGAGGAACGTGACTGGCCGCACAGAGTCCTGACCTCAACCCCACAGAACACCTTTGGGATGAATTAGAGGCGGAGACTGCGAGCCCCTCCCCCAACATCAGTACCTGACCTCACAAATGGTCCAACATTCCCATAGACACATTCCTAAACCTTGTGGACGCCTTCCCAGAAGAGGCGGAGCTGTTATAGCGGGAAAGGGCGGAGCCAACCCAATACTGAACCCTACAGACTAAGACTGGGATGCCATTAAAGTTCATGTGCGTGTAAAGGCGTCCCAATACTTTTGGCAATACAGTGTATATCCATCTCCCAGGGCCATCTCCAACACTGAAATATGTTACGCTTCTGACATGTTTCAGGTGCTTCCACTTGTTAGGGAAGATATATAGCAGCAGTTTTTATATAGAAATCCCTTCGCTTGATCACTTAAATGCCAAGCAAGCTGCTAAATGCACAATCAAAACACACATATGGGAACTGTTTCACCTGCCAGAGGTTATCTAATTCTGTTCAGTCAGCCTTGTGATCTACAGCCTTGTGTATTGGAGTCACAGGGGTCACCAGGTCAACCAGTTTTCTTATGAACTCTCTACTCCTTGCTCCTCCCTTGGATTTCTTATTTAAACCACGCCTCTGCACTTCCTGTTTGCCAGATTATTGTGCTCCTGCCAATATCTTGCTTCCTGTTGTTCCTGTTAAACTGCATCCTCTATACGTCTACCTACATACTAAACCTTGGCTGCCGATTCACTGACTACGCTTATTGCTCTCCACATGAACCTTGATACTTTTGGCTTCTGACTTCGGCTTGATTACAATGCTGCAATGCTACCGTCTGCTTGTGTACCGAACCTGGCCTGTGTGTACTTCAAACTTGCCTGCTGTTTCAGCTACTAGACTCCAGGCCTGATCTCAGTTTGTGACACAGGGGTCTCCTGGTGGCACAGAATGCTCAGGGCGCTCTGGAGTCACCAGAAGCTCAGGGTGCTCTGAAGTCACAGGGGTCACACAGGAAGCTCTGGGTGCTTTGGAGTCACAGGGGTCACGCAGGAAGCTCTGGGTCCTCTGGAGTCACAGGAGTCACACAGGAAGTTTAGGGTGCTCTGGAGTCACAGGAGTCACACAGGAAGTTTAGGGTTCTCTGGAGTCAAAGGGGTCACAGGAAGCTCAGGGTGCTCTGGAGTCACAGGGGTCACAGAGGGTGCTCTGGAGTCACAGGAGTCACACAGGATGCTCAGGGTACTCTGGAGTCAAAGGAGTCACACAGCAAGCTCTGGGTGCTCTGGAGTCACAGGAGTCACACAGAAAGTTTAGGGTGCTCTGGAGTCAAAGGGGTCACAGGAAGCTCAGGGTGCTCTGGAGTTGGTGGGGTCACACAGGAAGCTCAGGGTGCTCTGGAGTCGCAGGGGTCACACAGGATGCTCAGGGTGCTCTGGAGTCACACAGGATGCTCAGGGTGCTCTGGAGTCATAGGGGTAATGCAGGGTGCTCTGCAGTCACAGGGGTCACACGGGATGCTCAGGGTACTCTGGAGTCAGAGGGGTCACACAGGAAGCTCAGGGTACTCTGGAGTCAAAGGAGTCACACAGCAAGCTCTGGGTGCTCTGGAGTCACAGGAGTCACACAGAAAGTTTAGGGTGCTCTGGAGTCAAAGGGGTCACAGGAAGCTCAGGGTGCTCTGGAGTCACAGGGGTCACAGAGGGTGCTCTGGAGTCACAGGAGTCACACAGGAAGCTCAGGGTGCTTTGGAGTCAAAGGGGTCACACAGGAAGCTCAGGGTGCTTTGGAGTCACAGGAGTCACACAGGAAGCTCAGGGTGCTCTGGAGTCGCAGGGGTCACACAGGAAGCTCAGGGTGCTCTGGAGTCACAGGGGTCACACAGGATGCTCAGGGGGCTCTGGGGTCACACAGGGTGCTAGTGCTCTGGAGTCATAGGGGTAATGCAGGGTGCTCTGCAGTCACAGGGGTCACACGGGATGCTCAGGGTACTCTGGAGTCAGAGGGGTCACAGAGGAAGCTCAGGGTGCTCTGGAGTCAGAGGGGTCACACAGGGTGCTCTGGAGTCACAGGGGTCTTTGGAGTTACAGCAATGGGGGGCTAAGTCACCATTTAAAGCTGATGCCGATCATGCGAGCTGACTCCTGATTGGTTGCTGAGCTGACACTCCTGGTTGAATCCTGAACTCTGTTGTTGAACCCAATGAGCTAGATTTGTGCACAGAGCCCCATGTGTGGTATAATCACTGGGAGCAAATAGCACAGAATAAAGAAAAAGGAAAAAACTTGTTTATACATTTTTTATGCTGTTTTTTTTTTTTCTTTTTCCATTAATAACCCATAAAAAACCCTCCCCCACCCCCCTCCTCTGTATACGGCACCAGCAATCAATGCATCCACACTATTGGTACTAGCTGACCCATATGAGTGAGCAGTAGGTTGGGATAAGGGGCAGATCATGTAATGAAATGCATCATTGCTGTAGGTGAATGTGGACGGCAGTACGTCGGTGGTTATCGCTGCAGGGGAAGCCGGAGAGGAGGAGGAGGAGGAGGAGGAGAAGATTGATAACGCTCCACCTACATTACCGCAGCTTCAAGTGGAGACGTTTGACTTGCACGCACCCAGGTACGGTGAAACGTTCTGCACTCCCATCCATTGTAATGTCATAAATCATTTTATTCTGATTCTACTGATGTCATCTCCCCTCACCTCTCCACATAGATTCTTCATTGTCCACGAAGATGGCTCCGGCAGCGAACTTCTCCGGAATCGGGAAGTGGAGGATTATCTGGCTTCCTGTTATTGTGAGCCAGCAATGGCTGTCTTGCGAGAGCCAACCCAGGAGGTGCCAGGTGGGCGAGGCCATACCAAATACTACATCTGAAATGGGGGGGCAGTAGCTCGTGCCTATGACTCCACTATACATGTTTCCAATCCTCTCCTAACGAGTTTAACCAGTAAATACAGACTGCAGTTGGCTTAGCTGATGTTCCAGGAAGAGAAGGTTTGAGAGGTGCCACGATTCCCGTGCTTGTTCCACCAATCAAGTGTAAGAGGTTTTCAGTCTAGCTTACTGACTTGGAGAGACCATAAGATGAAAGAGTCTAAGAAGAGTATAATAGTTCACAATTCACCCATAAAAAACATGTGACCACCACCCTTACCAATGTCATCATGGACAATAGAGGGCTGGTTGCCACCATTGGTCCTGCACTGTCCATGGTGACATTGGGGGGTCCATCCACATACTTGCACTGGAGGGATGGATACCTGAATACTGACTCTGTCAGGACCGAAGATTAAGGTAAGTATTACTCCCCTAGACAAAATGAGCAAGAAATCTTAAATATGCCAAAGAAAAAGGGGGATAACCATGATCAGGGTCGCTGATAGAGGGTCACAAATAGCGGGGGGGGGGGGGCATGGGCCCCAGTGGCGTTTCTGGGGGGTGGAAACACCCACATACAGGGCCGCCAATTGGGAGGTACAGGCAGTAGCAGGGGGGCCTGGGCCCCAGTGGCGTTTTCGGGGGGGTGGAAACACCCACATACAGGGCCGTCGATTGGGAGGTGAAGGCAGCACTCCCATACTGGCCTCCATCGGGTCAGCAATATATAACAGTCTTATTACTATTAGATTGTCTGGCTGATGTAATGCACACATCATGGTTCTCAGGTGTTCAGACCATCACGGTCCTGCAGCCGTTTTCACAGACCTCCCCGTGGACGATGAAGAAAGAGTTAAACAGCATTGTTCCCCCCAACCTCCTCTCCAGAAAGTGGGACACCTTCCCCTCTTTCGAGGTATGTGCACGTGGGGAGAAGAGAATTATCAGACGGGGATCATTGGTCTCCATGGATCCTACTCATTGACTGATGTTTATTCTCAGAGGAAGACTCCCGGACCTCCGCTAGGGGTTGGTGTATGGAAAGGACTCCGCATCGGCGACAGAGAGGTGGCAAAAGTCCGTCCTCCGATACTCAAGTGTCCCGATGTTCTGAGGATCCGTCAACTCCGCCAGTACGAACCCATCAACATGGAGGTGCGGGAAAAGTTGGAGCTGTCTCTGAAGGTAATTCCCAAATTGTTTACTATATCACCCCCAGAATAAGGGGGTGCAGGTAAGGGACCAGAGGGGGAGCCCGGCGTGTGCATGTAGATAGATAGATAGATAGATAGATAGATACAATAGATAGATAGATACAATAGATAGATAGATACAATAGATAGATAGAGCTTTTACCAGACTGTAGATTCCCTAGAAACCCTTAAAATATACAATGAACATAACATCTAGAACAAAAGCATATACACAGGACCGGATTTACCTACCCTGCCGCCCCAAGGCCGGGTTTGGCAATGACCCCCCGCCCCCCCGCCGAGGAGAATGCCAACCAGATGGCAGGGTTGGTTTGAATTTTTTTTTTGTTTCTTTTTTTTTTTGTTTACTTTTTCATCACTTTTTAATTTTTTTATTTATTTTGTTACTTTTTACATTTTTATTCATCTTGTCATCTTTTACTTTTTTATTTTTTTAATCATTTTTTATCTTATTATTTTTTATTTATAATTATTTTTTTATATTTTTCTTACTATTTCTTGTTTTTTTTATTACTTTATTTTTGAATGTAAATATTATTACTTATTATTTTTTACTTAATTTTTGTAACTTATTTTTAATTATGTAATTGTTTTTTTATCAATTTTTTTTTCACCTAACTTTATTGCTATCACACAGGAGCTAACAAATCACTGTGTGATAGCATTTGGAGGTGACAGGTTCTCTTTATTGAACCTGTCACCTCCAATACAGGAGTTCTAGCACAGCGCTGTGCTGGAACTCCTGTGACAACTCCTGTGACAAGCACAGCTTTACCCTCTCCCCGTGTACACGGAGCGGTAGGGTTACTTTTAACCCTGCCGCTCTGCTTACCGCTCTACATCCCAAGGACGGAGCCGGGAGGACGCAGCATGGAGAGAGGTAGGTGCAGGGGGAGGGGGGAGGACGACCGGCAGTCTAATTACAAGTGATTTCTCTTATTCTACATTTAGCCCTGCTTGTGCAAAGCTAAATGTAGAAAATAAATTACCGCCCTGCGCCCGGAACTCCATGTACCGGGCGTCGGGTGACTTCAAACCTGTGCCGCCCCTCTGCTCAGTGCCGCCCCGCGAGGCCGGGAATCCGGCCCTGCATATACATATGAAGAGCATACAGACATCTCGGTTGTGTGAACATGCAGAGCCATTTCTTATCTGTCTCAGGTGGAACACTCCTCTGTGAGGGAGGGCTGCTCTGAAGCC